GTAGCCAGCAGCCATCCCACCCTAGGACGCTCATCGTTAGAGGTAACATATCTGACTTGTGGCTAATGCAAAACAGAAAAATTCCTGGAGTTGTGCTTTCTTCATCCTTTGTTGTATCTCAGCGCTGCTGATCTCCTGCAGCCCCTTTGCAGCAACTTCCTGGTTACCTGCATTTTAGGGTTAGATGAGCATTAAAAAGACCTACCCTTGCAGTACCACCCCTCCCCCCCAGGATTTAATAATCCTGGTGTTCAGCTTTAAATGCATAGATCTCTAAAACTAGCATTCGTACATGAGTCTGTCTATCAAGACCCCTGTAATATTCTACACTGCAGATCTTAAACTGGGAGCACTCTGAGTAATACTACTTTACACAGTGCTGTCAGTCTAACAGGGTGGACATACTTACAGGAGTGTAGAGAACAAGGTTGGTTCTCCTGCGTGGAAATACTTTGCATTTCTTATCTCTGTATATCAATATATACAAAGGAGATTGTGCGGTTAGATCGTAACATGTGACCTGTTTGAGGGCCCATTCGCACCACATCCAGATTACCCCCGGACCAGACTGTTTCCGCACCCAACGTATAGCTATGCTATTTCTGGCCTCTGTTCACACCAGCGCAGTCCGTTCCAGACCAGAAAAATACTGCACGTCTCATTTTGTCTGGTCTGGAACGCATGCAAACGCACTTGTAAGACAATCTTAAGCTAAAAAAAATGTTTTCAAAATGCCAAGCGCGGCAAAATCGTGCCAAAAATGCAACGCACTGCGTTCCAGATCTGGTCCAGAAATTGGTGTGAACTGAGCCTGAACGCCACCTAGGCCGACACCTCAAGTCTTTGCACAAGACACACACAGAGCGGCGGCAGGTAGCGGGTGGCGAATTAGCAGGCTGCTGACAATTAGCGGCTGGCACAGCTGCTGCGACACGTTTATTTATAAGAAGTGTAACATTCCGCTTTCACCTCCTCAGCTGCTTTCCAGGACTGGAAGAAGTGATAACAATCAGCACTTTCACTCGTCTCCTCTGTATAGCTAAGTATAGCGTGGGACGTGTACGAGGAAAAGGAACTCCCATGATCCTCCTCCAGGCCTGCACACGCGTGGTGATATGACCTGTGAGAATGAATAAAAGGATTTTCGTTTTGAAGAATACCTGGAGTGCTGGCGACCATTTTTCTGTTTTTCCTTCTAAATATTAGTCCAAGTGTCAATGTACCCGGGTGTTTGCGGCCTCCTAACATGCAATGGGGACCGGATCTGGAATGCAGAGATCTTATGGAGCAGCGTTGAGGTTATTGTTGCTTTTGGCGTACATCACGTGTCCGTTCTGTGCGGCGCTTTATGTGGTTTTATCACATGTCAATAGGAATGAGATGAAGACACATTTTCACAGCAGTCTATTTTTGCATGAAAACCCCTACGAGAGTGATTTCTCACGGTGGCACTTCACTTGTTTCCAAGTCTGGTCCCCTGTACCTAGCGGGTTACTAAGTCTTGTCCCCTGTGCCTAGCGGGTTACTAAGTCTTGTCCCCTGTACCTAGCGGGTTACTAAGTCTTGTCCCCTGTGCCTAGCGGGTTTCTAAGTCTGGTCCCCTGTACCTAGCGGGTTTCCAAGTCTGGTCCTTACCTGTCAGCTACGCTCGTCCCTGCCGCCAGTCCGAAGAGATCCTCCGTTCCCCGAACCTCCGGGTTGCGGAGGGAGGATACTGATGGCAGAGGAGCCATAGGCTCCTTCTGCCATCAATCAAAGAGGGAAGGGGCGTGGCCTGCCACAGTGCTGTGTGTGTCTATGGACGCACACAGCCACTGCGGAAACAAGCAGGCACGAGCGTGCACGGGTGCCTACATTAGAACGATGGTGGCACCCGTGCAGGGGGCGGGGGGAAGTGCGCTGCGGGGAGTCACTAGAAAAGGAGGAATTAGGAACTTTTAAAGAATAAAATAAACAGCCTCCAGCACAGTAGGGTCTCCTTTCTAGCAAAACCATGAGATGCGAGTGTAATGCGGCATCTAATGTTGCAATGTTGGGTGCAATGTGCTGCCATTATTTCTTATTGGCACCCCAACGCACCTAGCCATCGTAGAAGCGTCGTATCGCACCACAGTAACCAATTACCGTGCAATGCAATTTAAAAAAAGAGTTGCCCACACTTCTTTCAGTGTTTCAGTGTGATTTAGCTGCGGTAGGTAATCCATTCAAATAAATGGGCTGCTTGTCCCAGAGTACCACAAGCTGGGGTGTCCCCAGGCATGGTGTCACTCGGAGCTGCCACCGGGTGACACCCCCACCGTGATGTCACGCGCTTTTCCCTTGTGGCAGCCATCTTGGTGATGGACACCGGCAGAGAGAAGAGGGGAGGTTCACTCAGCTGGATCAGGTATGACGCCGGGTCCCCTCCTTTCTTGTACAGCTGTCGGGCACTCGGTCTATGACTACATGCCTGACTTTTTGCCCGACTGACAGTCATTTTGGTGTCCCCCGGGTGTAGGGTTGCCACTAAGGATGGGCTCGGGCGTGTTCCGGATTCACCTGGACAGTGCGGGTTATGAGTCCTGTATGTGCTGTTTCCGGTTTTCATGCCAGCTGAAACCCAGACACAGCACATACAGGACTCATAACCCGCACTGTCCAGGTGAATCCGGGATAGGTGGCAACTAAGGATGGGCTTGGGCGTGTTCGCAGGGGGGTGCGCCCCAAAACCCTACCCGGGTGCGGGACGCACCCTCATAGTGAAGCCACTTCCACAAGAGCACCCTGTAGCACCTCTGCAATGTTGCATCAAACATAGGGACTAAGGGTACGTTTACACCAGATGCAGTGCGTTCCGGTCCGATTCTGGCCAGAACGCACTGCATCGCATTGCGGCCTGCTCACTTTTTTGTGGGGCAGGAGGGGGCGTGGCGGGCCATTGACACACTGCATCTGGAGTGAACCTAGCCTAAGGAAGTCATGGTAATGGGTCTTACTCATGCGTGGTGACTGGTTAACCAATAACAACCAATCATTTGCAATGGGGTTTTAAAAAAAAAACAGTTTTTGTTTTATAATGACTATGAAAAATGTTGTTTTTCTGCTGTAAACACAAAGTCAAAAGTAAAAACAAAAAGAAGAAATATATTTGAATATTTGTGTCATAACATTGTAATATGTTTATATTTGTATAATAATAACATTGTAATATGTATATATTTGTATAATAACATTGTAATATGTATATATTTGTATAATAACATTGTAGTAATAATA